AAGGTATGTTCTTTGTCAAACATAGGTATGTTCTTTATCAAACATTATATGTTCTTTCCGCCTTTTTTGTTTACCCGGGTGCACCATGAACATGGTGCACCCGGGTGTATTATCTAATTTTCATATTATTTAAATTTAACTTATTGATAATTGGTTTTTTTATATGTCAATCAATAAATAGATAAGATGAATTTTATTAATGGAAAACTTTTGTATACACCCGATTTTCAGTAATTTTACTGTACATCGGGTACACTTTTGTCAGATTTAGTGTCAAATTTAGTGTCACTTTTGTCAAATTTATCAATGAAGCATAAATAACTCTTAAATATGTTAGGGTAACTTTTATGCATTTTAGTGTAACTTTTGCACATTTTATTGTCACTTTATAACGGATGTTCAGTAATTTACTGAACATCCGTTTTTATTTAAAAGTTTGTCTTTATTAATTGGAGGGTTAAGATTCACTCAATATAATGGCTATAATTTTTAATTTAGCTATTGCAAAACTATCCTTCATTGCAATACTTGAATAATAGATCATGAATCACATCACTAATCGTGGTTCACATTATAAGTGATCTTGATTATATAAGTGATCTTGATTATACAAGTGTTTACAAAATAATAACTTAACCACTAATTTAATTTCTCTATCATTTTAATCTGAACTTTTATCCCCCAAGAGATAAACTGCGTCTTCACAAACAATCTGTTTAACGTGGTTGGAGATCAGTGATGGAATCCTGATTTGTGGACAAACTCACTAACTGTCTTTCCTTATGATTATCAGAGTTAGTGTCCATAGTCGCATTCACACTGACAAATGAAGGATGAGAAGGAACCGGCAATGAGAGCGAGCGGCTGCTAAGCATCAATACGACAGAGGACATAGCGGGACGGTCATCTACACTTTCTTGAACACATAACAAGCCCATGTGTATGCATCTTATTATATCAGTTTTAGACGCCGTTGATAATGTTGGATCAATGACTGATATTGCTGTACCTTCCCTCCAATTTCTCCATACCTGCTCAGCAACAATATATATCGGACATAGATTAGTTACAGGACACTATTACAGAGTTTGTAACATAGAAACTTGCCTTAAAAGTGAGTAATTTTAAGGACGTAGTAAAAGATGATATATAAGAATGCTTGAACACTTACAAAGCTTAATAGGTCCTCTGTGTATTCCCCATTTTGATAGCCAGAATTCTTTCGACCTGTAATAACTTCTAGGACTAGTATGCCGAAGCTGTAGACATCTGATTTTACGGAGAAAAATCCATGGAAAACATATTCTGGTGCCATATATCCACTACATAAAGGAGATTAATTACGACATTAGGCTTTGATATATTTCATGGTTTGCTTGTTCATATGATCATATATATGTGATATCAAAGCAAATTAAAGTTTGATGTCATTTTTTAGATGTTTAATATAATGACCACATACTAAAAGTCTAGGGAAATGTCCTCATTAGCATGATTTACTTACTAGGTACCGACGATTCTACTGGTATCTCCCTGTGTTTGGTCAAACTCCAAATAACCTTGCCATACCAAAATCTGCAATCTTGGGAGCCATATCTTCATCTAGAAGAATGTTGCTGGCTTTAAGGTCACGATGGATGATTCTTAGTCGAGAATCTTCATGAAGGTAAAGAATTCCTCGAGCTATGCCAATTATAATCTTGTATCGGGTTTGCCAATCTAAAACAGAACGCATGCTTACATCTGCACACAAGGAGGTATCATAAAGTTCAATTCATGTTTCATAAATTTATGTCATCATATTTCATGCTTTAAAAAGAAGTCAAATCATACCAAACAAGAAGTGATCAAGGCTAGCGTTGGGAACAAACTCATATATGAGTAGTCTTTCTTCTTTTTCTAAGCAGAAGCCAAGGAGCCTTACAAGATTCCTGTGTTGAAGCTTAGCCACTAACATAACTTCAGTTTTAAACTCGCCGTCACCTTGTCCTGAATCCCTTGACAGTCTCTTCACTGCGATTTCTTGTCCACTTGATAACTTTCCCTGGTTTAAACAAACATACACATATAACTTATGCAGTTATGCCCCATTCTACAAAATTTAGTCAAATAAAACTTCATTCTTCTGCTTTAAAAAAGTTGCAACACTCAACCAAATATGTGAAAGCTTTTAATTTGGGCAAAACGTTGCAATGTAATTTTTATAATACTTAGTATTTTCAATTATAAGTTTACGATGTTATAACTTATAAGTACCTTGTAAACAAAACCAAATCCACCTCGACCAAGTTTATTAGCATCTGAGAAATTATCTGTTGCCACTCTAATGGTGTCAAAACCATATTGCAGAGACATATAACTTCTGGTTTCATCATCATTTTCATCATCTTGATTAAAGGTTAAGAAAATCAAGGGATTAGCATCATTTTATTATATCAAGATATATACAAGTACCATAAATGATTATAAATAGAGAAGACATTCTTTTGCTTACTTAAACTTTCAACATTTTTCCTTGTCTTCCTTCTTCGATACAAGTAAATGAAGCCAATTGCAACAGCAATTAATACAACTGTCGGAACTATGATAAGTACGGTGGTTATTGCCGTGTTGCTTCCATTTCCTGCAGATTATGAAGTTGACAATCAAGTAGCTGAAATATGATTTATTATTCCATCCAATACGTTTATATATTTATTGGCGTTTAAAAAGCCAGACATGTAATGAGAATCGATTCTAAAACCCCCTATAACCAAGAGGGAAGCTCTAATTTACTAAGCTATTCTTGACTTCCATCTAATAAGTATACATTGACGTGTTCTAATTAATTATTCTATCAAAGCTTAATATAATAGTTTCACCATCACTATATTTATACTTGCACTTATCTCGAAATTTTAATTAGTAGAGGACTAGTTGGTGAGCTTCATAAACTTTTCTATAAGAAAAATATACAAGTATATTTTTTTCGACTTCTTGTGATATGTACCTATTCATTTTATTGTCCATTGACCACTTCGATTCCCACATGCTCAAGGTTCTTATTTTAATTCTTTGAAAGTAACATATAATTTTCTCACAAGATAAGCTTAATTAGCTAAGCTAAAATAATATAATAGAACAAATAGCAAGAGTTGAATTGATTTCATAACCCATGTTTGACTACTAGATATATATTAATCTACTGACTGAATATCCCTTTGAAAGCACATAGTTTAGCAATCCAATTTATTATGTAAAATTCTAATTTTTGAAAGTAAAAACTTGTAGTATTTCCCATTTACCTGATGGTGGTGGAGGAGATGGTGCTGTCGACGGTGGAGGAGAAAGAGGACTAGTAACGTTGTAAAACAGATCCTGCTCGTATCTTATTTCGCAATTAGATCCAACAACCCGTGCTCCTATACTGTTATTGCAACAACTAGGAAGCACATTATTAATACTATCACCAAGACAATTAAAACAGTTTCGATATGACAAATCCGGAGAACATTGAGCAACTGCATAAACATTCTTCAAGCTTCCATAAGTACCATTTCCGGTTGCATACTTAAGTCTAGAATCACCCGAAGCAGCTTCATTTTGAATCTTGTTCAATAGCGATCCCAGCACCTCATCAAAGTCTTTAGCGTTATTATCAGGCACACTAGCGGAGTTTGTTAAGTAGTAGGCAGGTTGTCTTGAGCTCATGCTCGACAATGCAGATGAACGATTTGCATAGCGTAGCATACAATTATCGTACCACCCAGAAGCTTCCTTTTGTGTAGGGCAGAGCCGTGGAAGCAGACTAATTGAGTTATTGAGGCATGTATAACAATCTTGGAAGGATAGTTCACTTCCACATAGCGCGTCCCCATATACTTGATCAGGGTCCTTGCCAATTGAAAAGTTATAGTAGCGCGAGTTGATTTGAGTTTTGGATGATATCGAAGTGAAGAAGGTGTTGAGATTGGTGTGGTATGTGCTAGTGTTTGTATAGTTACCATATGTGTCTATACACAAATGAGTTATGAAATTTGGTTGGCTAAAAGAAATGGAGATGAAGTAAAAATGAATAAGAATCAAAATATAAAGAACTCTTGACATTCTTATTTTTAAATCTCAGCTCCCTCTTTTGTGGTTCGACGTAAGAGAGATCATGTATACAAGCTACAAATGGCGAAATGATTAAGGAGAACGTGTATAACTACCGCGTTTGTTGAGTTCATACTCGAAGAAGACTAGAAAAAGGAAGAATTTATGAGAAGAAACTAAAGATGGGAGAGAATGGAAAACAGTCTTCTGGCATGGTTGGTACTTTCTCATTATATAATTTCTAAATTCGAGTATAGAGATACAACCAAGTTGCCAAATTTTTACTCAAAAAAATGATACAATAAACAAAATTCAGTTTCCCACTTGATAAAGCAGCAGCCCTTGTCCCACTAGTTACTAGACTACTAATGACAATGTAGCACACCTTGTTAGAAACGACCACATTATTGGTCAATTGTAGAGTCTATTGTGAAACAATGGCGCTACCTTCCCAGAACGAACGAGGAACCTATGGGTGTTTTTAAAGAGAAAGATCGAGCAGAAGTTTCTGGGAAGACCTTTTTAAACAAATGAGGAAAATATGGATGTTTTTTTAAGAGAGATCGAGCAAATGTTTGTGATGCGACCTTTCTAAAACGGATGGGTGTTTTCTAAGAGAAAGATCAAGCAGACGTTTGTAGGGTGCCTTTCTATTATTAACGATAAACCTATTGGTGCTAAGAGAAGTATTGAGCGACATTTTTGGGGTGATCTCCTAGAAGGAACAAAACCTATTGGTGTTTTTCTTAGAGAAAGATTGAGCTAGCACACATTTGTTACCTCATAAGAATGAGAAACATGTTGATGTTTTTTTGGAGAGAAGTCAAGCAAACAACTATTATAAATGTAGAATTGTAATTTACAGCTTTGGGGAAAAAAGTTCATACAAACATGCTTTGAACCAATACAACAATACAAGATCGCCAACAAATATATTATTAGATCAATTATCTATGATTTATTAGAAAGAAACATTTTTTTTAAAGATGAAATACTTATCTTTCTGCTCTTGTTATTCTAACATCTTTTAACTGTCTTTAATTAATTACAATTGTTGAAACCTATTGTAGCCCACTTGTGAGTGTCCCACATTGGAGAAACATTGAGAGATATTTCACTTTATAAGGTAGATGAGTTAATTCTATTATTGTTACCATCTCTCATCTTCAATTAAATTTTTTTGACCAGGACTAGGTTAGCACTTGAAATTATTAGAGCAATCACGTAAACACTTTTATGCAACACAAGAGATATCAAACAATTGCGACCTTCACGAACAATCGGTTTAACGTGGATGGATATCAGTGATTGAAACCTCATTAGTTGAAATACTCTCTGATTGTCTCGCATTGACACTGATGAATGAAGGATGAGAAGGAACCGGCAAAGAGAGCGAGCTGCTACTAAGCATCAACACGACAGAAGACATAGTTGGACGGTCATCTACACTTTCTTGAACACATAACAACCCCATGTGTATGCAGCTTATTATATCAGTTTTAGACGCCGTTGATAGTATTGGATCAATGACCGATATTGCTGTTCCTTCTCTCCAATTTCTCCATACCTGTGCAAAGACATTATGTACGCGACATAGATTAGTTGCAGGACATTATTACAGAGTATGCAACATAGAAATTTGCATTGAAAGCGAGTAATTTTTTAAGAGGTCATCAAATTAAGATGATGACTTTATTCTTGACCACTTACAAAGCTAAATAGGTCTTCTGTGTATTCCTCATTTTGAAAACCAGAATTCTTTCGACCTGTGATAACTTCCAAGACTAGTACGCCAAAGCTGTAGACATCTGATTTTACAGAGAAGAATCCATGGAATACATATTCTGGTGCCATATACCCACTGCATAAAGGAAATTAATAATGACATACATTATTTTTTGACAAATTACATACATTATTAGGCTTTCATACTTATCATGATTTTCTCAAGTCAAATCTATGTAATATCAAAAAAATTAATCTGTTTCATGTCCAAATAAAATTAATAGTTTCATGTCCTTTTTTAGAAATCCATAAAAATGATCACATTAGTCAAGGAAACTGTCTTATTAATTAATTTGGTAGACTTACTAGGTACCGACGATTCTGTTGGTATCCCCCCGGGTTTGGTCAACTCCAAATAACCTTGCCATCCCAAAATCTGCAATCTTAGGAGTCATATCTGCATCTAGAAGTATGTTGCTGGCTTTAAGATCACGATGGATAATTCGAAGTCTGGAATCTTCATGAAGATATAGGATTCCTCGAGCAATGCCAATTATAATCTTGTAGCGAGTGGGCCAATCTAAAACAGATTGCATGCTTACATCTGCACACAAATGATACTCATGGAGTTAGCATAAAGTTCAATTCATCAACTTTCCTTAGCATAAACTTATCTGCCAATCAATTATTTTTAAAAAAATCTAAAGATAATAGTATAAACTTAATGTACATGAGTACATCATTTGTCATGCTTTAAAAAAGAAAATAAACCATACCAAACAAGAAGTGATCAAGGCTAGTGTTGGGAACAAACTCATAAATGAGTAGTCTTTCTTCTTTTTCTAAGCAGAAGCCAAGGAGCCTAACAAGATTCCTGTGTTGAAGCTTAGCCACTAGCATAACTTCAGTCTTAAACTCGCCGTCACCTTGTCCATAATCCCTTGAGAGTCTCTTCACTGCGATTTCTTGTCCATTTGTTAATTTTCCCTGGTTTTAGCAAACATATACATATAGCTTAATGACCCATAAACTTAAGTTATGAATTAGTATTCTTTTACAATCTGTAAAAAATTAGTCAAATTATACTAGAACTAATCACAGACAAAGTTTTGATCTCAATAGCTTATAATGTTAGAAGTACCTTGTAAACGATACCAAATCCACCTCGGCCAAGTTTATTGGCATCAGAGAAATTGTCTGTTGCCACCCTAATAGTGTCAAAACCATATTGTAGAGACATGTAACCTCTGCTTTCTTCATAATTTTCACCATCTAAATCATAGGTTAAGAATATCATCAGAGGACTAGCATCATAATAGCAATATATATAAACATTCAAGACAATTTTTACTTACTCAAACTTTCAATATTTTTCCTTCTCTTTCTTCTTTGACACAAGTAAGTGAAGCCTACTGCAAGAGCAATTAATACGACTATTGGAACTATGATAAGTACGGCAATTGTTCCCTTATTGCTTCCATTTCCTGCAGATGATGAAGTTAAGAAAGTAGCTTAAGTACAAGTTAATGATGTTCAAATTATAGAATAAATAGCAAGAATTGAATTCAAAACCCATTAACAGTTCAGAGTTTAGCATTCCAACTTATAATTGAGAATTCTGATGTTCAAAAGTAAAAACTTCAATAATTTCGCGGTTACCTGATGGAGGAGGAGGAGATGGTGCAGTCGACGGCGGGGTAAGTGGTGGACTAGTAATGTTGTAAAACAGATCCTGCTCGTATCTTATCTTGCACTTAGGTCCAATAACCCGTGCTCCTATGCTGTTATTGCAACAACTAGGAAACACATTATTAATACAATCTCCAAGACAATTAAAGCAACTTTGATATGATAAATCCGGATCACATTGAGCAAATGCATAAACATTCTTTAAGCTTCCATAAGTAGCATTTCCGGTTGCATACTTAAGCTGAGAACCACCCGATGCAGCTTCATTTTGAATCCTATTCAATAACGATCCTAGCACTCGATTAAACTCTTCAACATTATTATCACTCACAGAATTTCCATTGCTTAGATAGTAGGAAGGTTGTCTTGTACTGAGAGTCCATAATGCATCTGTTCGATTAGCATAAATTAGCATACAGTCGTCGTACCATCCATAAGCTTCCTTCTGTGGCTGACAGAGCCGTGGAAGCAATCTTATTGAGTTATTGAGACATCTATGACAATCTTGGAAAGCCATATCACTTCCACATAGTGCTTCCCCATAAACTCGGTCAGGTTCCTTGCCAACTGAGATATTATAGTAACGCGAGTTGATTTGAGAATTAGATGATATTGAATTGAAGAAGGTATTGAGATTGGCATTGTATGTGCTGGAATTGGTATAGTTACCATAAGTGTCTATACACAAATGAGTTATGAAATTTGGTTGGCAAATCGCGATGGAGATTAAGTAAAAATGAATGACAATGCTAATATGAACAACTCTAGACATTCCCATTCGCGTGTCTCAGCTCCTTGTTTTGTCATTCGACGTTAGGTGGATCATAAATACTAGCTAAAATGGCAAAATTAAGCAAAATGTGTATAATATGAATCTAAAACCGCGTGTTTAATTAGAGTTCATACCTGAATAATTTTTTAAAGAAAACTTTGCAAGTCAAGAGAAGAAAGTAAAGAAGACTGTGAAATATAGTCATTTGGTATGGTTAGTAATTGCCCATTGTTTTCATTTTTAAACTCATACACTCAAAATAATCGAATTATAATATAACCAAGATGCCAAAATTGTAATCAGAAAATTAATATATTAAGCCAAAATGATAAAGCAGCAGCCCCTGTCCATCTAGGCATTGGTCACAAGGTTGAAGCTAGCACACCTGGTTAGAAAAACTTTATTTGTTAATAATTGTCATTTGTTATCAGAGAGCTAGCCTGTTGTGAAATTATGGATCAAACATAAATAAAATACAACAATCATCAACATGATAAAATAAAACCAACTCGATTAAAAAAAGAAAAAGAAGAAGGAAAAGTCCTATTTAATTTCCCACTTGACAAAGCATGAAAAGCAACCCCTGCCCTACTAAACAATAGAATTATACTACCTCCGTTAACTTTTATTTGCAACTTGAAATATTTTATGTCTCACAAATAATACCCAAAGTTGCAAATAAAAGTTAACGGAGGTAGTAGTACTAAACTCCACCTTTCTTTTGTTCATATTTTCTATTTTTCTCTTTCAGCTCAAAGAAATGAAGTCATCAAACATATTATTTTACTTGTTAGTTTGTTTCATTCTCACTGTATGGTTACCGGAATTGACTTCTGCACAATTTTCTTTCCGCCACAGTTGGTGTGGCGATGCTACTTACGCACCCAACAGCACTTATCAATCCAACATAGAGCAGTCCTAAACTCCCTTGCTACGGACTCTCGAATCACCTATGGTTTCTACAACTTCACTGCAGGACAAGGTCCAGATAGAGTAAATTCTTTAGTCATATGCAGAGGCGATGTTCCTCTAGGAACATGCCGGGTTTGTGTAAGAGACTCTGCTAGTTCAATCCCTCAGACTTGTCCTAACCAAAAAGAGGCATTTGGTTACAGTCAATACTGCAAAATATTTATATCAAATCGCGCTATATATGGTATTGTGCAGAATGACCCACAATGGTATGTAGTGAAAATGTGACTGGTGTTATTGGGTTTAACCAAACACTCAATTCTCTAATGAGGTCGTTGCAGAATCGAGCTGCTTCAAGTAATTCTGAGCTGATATATACTACTGGAGAAGTTAGTCTTACCGGAGGTGGAGGTCAGAAGATAACACGCCCTGTTAGAACAAACATTATTTAAATTGTCGATAATTGTCTTTTGAGATCGAAGAGCCTTTATGCCTTGGATAAGAATCTACAACGCACTAGAACGCCTTAGAAATTATGATTAATTGATTAAATCGACCTTCCTAAAACGAATGAGGAACCTTACTGGTGTTTTTTAAGAGACAAAGATCATGCGGAAATTTATCGAGTTAAAACATGATCTGCAACTTTGAGAATTTGAGGAAAAGAGTCCATACAAACACCCTATACAAGCAACGAACTCATCTCGCCGCCAACTGTGTTATAATATGAGATCAACCATCCATGAAATTTCTTGTCAGATAAACTTCAACCTTTAATGTCTTCAATCTTTAATTTAAAATTCAATAATATTAATGTTTTGAAGATTTGCAATAACACAAATTTGATGAGATGCCTCATGAGTCATGACTGATGTTCTTCTCATGCTAAACAATGACACTAAATGATTTGTCAATACACTTTGCATCTCTATCAACATCTGATCCTCCGTGATATTATCAAAGATTAATTCGAAAGTAAGTAATTAACTCTAAATCATTCTAAAAATAGTGTAACAAAAAAAAATTAGAGAAAAAAAAAACAGGGGAAAGTCAATTATAGAGTACGTTATTACTCTACTTTTACACCCACTGTTCTTTTTCTATATTCAAGAATCAAGATACGAAAAAAAAAAAGGAAAAATCCAATTTAATTTCCCACTTGAATAAGCAACCCCTACCCTACTGGCTACTGATAGAAGATACATCATATAATATTGAATGGCACATAAAATTTTGGCATATTGATCTAAAAGTAAGCTTTAAACAACTGTACTAATAGTCAAATTATGCAAAATTAACTTCTTTTTAATTAAAAACTATATTGTACCAAACTCCACCTTTCTTTTGTTCATATTTTCTATTCTCACCTTACAACTCAAAGAAATGGAGTCATCAAACATATTTCACTTGCTACTTTATTTCGTTCTCGCTCTAAGGATTCCGGAATTAACTTCAGCTCAATTTACATTCCGCCACGGTTGGTGTGGCGACGCTACTTATGCACCCAACAGCACTTACCAATCTAACCTTAGAGCAGTCCTAAACTCCCTTGCTACGGACACTCGAATCACCTATGGTTTCTATAACTTCACTGCAGGACAAGGTCCAGACAGAGTAAACTCTTTAGTCGTATGCAGGGGCGATGTTCCTCTAGGAACATGCCGGGTTTGTGTAAGAGACTCTGCTAGTTTAATCCCTCAGACTTGTCCTAACCAGAAAGAGGCATTTGGTTACAGTCAAAACTGCAAAATATTTATATCAAATCGCGCTATATATGGTATTGTGCAGAATGAGCGACAATGGTATCTGACAACTAGTGAAAATGTGACTGGTGTTATTGGGTTTAACCAAACACTCTATTCTCTAATGAGCTCGTTGCAGAATCGAGCTGCTTCAGGTAATTCTGAGCTGAAATATGCTACTGGAGGAGCTAGTCTTACTGGAGGTGGAGGTCAGAAGTTATACGGGCTTGTACAGTGTACTCCGGATTTGTCAAGGCTGGCCTGCATACAATGTATTCAAGGATCTCTTTCAATTCTCCCAACATGTTGTATTCAGCCTTCTTATACAGCTTCAGGGGTAACAATTGTCATACCGAGCTGCTTTGTTCAGTATGAGCTCTTCAATTTTACAGGGAATGTGCCTAATCTAACTCCGCCACCACTACCACCATCACCAGGACCTCCCTCGCCACCAAGCAATAATAATTCAACATCTACTGCAGGTATATATAAAAATTGTCTTCTTTTACATTCTGAAAGTGTTTGTTGAACTGTTGGTGGGTATTGAGTTGAGGTAACAAACAAGTCCTTTGATTTTGGTTAGTTTGATTTGAGTCATTTGTGGAAAACTGAATATGGGGCAGGTCTAATTTAGACAATTTAGATCATCTACTCTGCTAGACTGGGTAAATTGTGTAGTTACCTATGTTGTTCTTCTGACATGGGATATTATCTCTGATGTTCTATAGAATTAAATTCTGTTTTTTGTAGTAAAGAGAAGAAAGAAATCTCTTAATCCTAGTGTTATTGCTGTCCCAATCGTTGTCGCAACAACAATGATTATTGCTGTTGTCCTCTGCATCACATTAAGGAAGAAGAAGTTGAGAAAGGCCTGGATGCTGAAATTCAACAGTAAGCTCTGAAATCTAATAAGAAGCTCCTCATTATTAGCAATGTACTTACAAGTACAGTTTCAAGATAAGGTACCTAATTATATCCATTTATGTTAAGTGCAGAAGATGAAATTGAGACCCTTCAGTCTTTGCAATTCAGTTTGGGGACTATCAAACATGCGACAGGGGATTTTTCAGAGGTAAATAAGCTCGGAGAAGGTGGATTTGGCGTTGTTTATAAGGTAATTGTTCATCCGGCATACTGATAAATTTGTCAGATATATCTTGATTAAGAGCTTAAGATTGCTAAGAGAAAAAATAATAAAATTGTGATTAAATAGTGTTTTCTTATTTACAGTTTCAGGGTGTGTTTTCTAATGGACAAGAGCTAGCAGTGAAAAGGCTAACAAAGAATTCAGCACACGGAGATTTACAGTTCAAAAACGAAATTTTGATATTGGCCAAACTCCAACATAAGAATTTGGTCAGGCTACTAGGATTTTGCCTGCAAGAAGAAGAAATGCTTCTCATCTATGAGTTTATTGCTAATAGAAGCCTAGATTACTTTATATTTGGTAAGCAATAAAAACACTAAAAACTCAATTTAACACTTGTATGATCTTTACCTAATTAAAAAAGTACATCTAAAGTTCTAGAATTTGTTCTTTTTTTTTGGTAGATCCTGTGCAGCGTGAGACTATGAGGTGGGAAACATGCTATAAAATTATCTATGGCATTGCTAGAGGGCTCCTCTACCTTCATGAAGAGTCAAGAACACGAATTATCTATCGTGACCTTAAAGCAGGGAATGTACTTCTAGATGAGGAATTTAATCCTAAGATTGCAGATTTTGGTATGGCTAGGTTGTTTAACATTGATCAAAGTCAGACATTGGCTAGCAGAATTGTTGGTACCTAGTAAGTGTCCTAAACTTCCACCTAAATAGTAAATTCAGGTTGCACTTCATTCTGTTCTTATCACAGTTGATTTTTGAGATACAATACTTTTGTTCAGTGGATATATGTCGCCTGAGTATGTGCTCCATGGACAAGTATCAATGAAGAGCGATGTCTTTAGCTTTGGTGTACTCATCCTAGAGATTGTAAGTGGACAAATGATTAGTTCATTCTTAAATGGAGAGAAACCCGAAAATCTTCTTAGCTATGTAAGTTTGTTTATAGTACAAGTGACTAGTGTTTGTTTATAGCTATGTAAATTTACATAATGTTTTTTTTATAGGCTTGGAAGAATTGGGTAGATGGCACACCTTGGAATGTCGTTGATACTACTTTATCAGCTGGTTTCAGTACAGACATACTGAGATGCATCCACATTGGTTTATTGTGTGTTCAAGAGAACCTTGTAGACAGGCCAACAATGTCGTCGATTGATCTTATGCTAAGTAGACAGTCTCTCTCCCTTCAAAGGCCATTACAACCTGCATTCTTCATAGAGAGCATCTCTCAATCAAATGGCCGTCCCCAAGAGAACACTACAACTGAATCAAGCAGCAGAACAAGAAGAAACTCCGTTAATGAGGTCACCATAACAGAACCATACCCCAGATAACACTTAAAAAAACGAAGGGAGTAAACGGTCAAATTATTTGAATTGGACCTATCTGGGCTACAAAATATCCGTAGCCCAGTTCCAATTGGGCCACAAAGCATAGAATTGTTTTCTAATTTATTTTTCCTAAGACTATTTTCTAGATTCAATGCCGTCTTGAGTGGATAAAACTATTCAAAATTGACCGTCTCTTACTCAACTTGCATTTGCAATCCTGTGGTTTTCTTACACTTGGCTGTTTTCAATCTTTGTCTATATGTCTGTAATAAATACCAAGTAATTACTAACATCAACTTGTTGCTGAAATTTATTTTATTCCTACCACTACTTTAAATACTCCTTCCGCCCCCGAAAGAATGACCCATTTGGGTTGATTACGCGGGTATTAAGAAAGTTAAATAAAAAGAAGTCAAATTATATTGAAAATATAAATTTACATGGGGTTTATAAAAAAAAATAGAGAGAGAAGGTATTAAAAATACATGGAAAATCAAATTTTAGTATGGGAAAGCTAATTTTGCACAAATATTATTGCAAATTGGTGGATGTTTTAATGTAAATGGGTCATTCTTTTTGAGACTAAAATTAGACCAAATGGATCGTTCTTTCGGGGACGGAGGGAGTAATTGGAGAACACAACCTTAGTCTATTTTAGTCAAAAGTCAATGGAATAAATTAAAATTAGAAAAATAAGATCTGATGTTTAAAATTCTACCATGTGCATATTACGGAGTATATGTAACTCAAAACGGAAAATGCCGAGTATTAACACAAATCACGTACATTGAATGAGAATGCATGGCCCTACTGACTTTGCACTTTGCACCACATATATAAACAGGAAGTATGAGCAAATTAGCACATATAGATCGAATAATTAAAGTATGAAAACAAATATATAATACAATTTGATTAAGGTGCCTTAGATAATTCAGTCAATCCATAAGTCTTCATATTGTTGGTCACTTTGATGTATAATCTCTATTCTCTAGCTTAAACTAAATTTACACTATGGATTTTCTAACACCACTCTTCTTATTAGTCCTTCAATTCATCTTCATTTCATTGATTCCCAAAACATCTGCCCAGTTCCAATTCCTCTACAGCAAATGTGGAAACACCGGTTTCTACACCCCGAACAGCACTTACCAATCCAATCTCAAAACAGTCCTCAACTCTCTTTCAACCACTCAAGTGACAAATGGCTACTACAACCTCACCGTGGGGCAAAAGCCCGACAAAGTCGAAGCTATGGTCCTCTGTAGGGGAGATGTCCCGGTGAATACTTGTCGCCTTTGTATGCGTGACTCGGCTGCCAATCTCCCATTGTTCTGTCCGAATCAAGCACAGGCATTTGGGTACTCCGATCACTGCATAATCTTTTACTCAAACAACGCTACTTTTCACGTTGTAAGAGATAGGCCAAGGTGGGGTCTATGGAATGGTAATAATGTTTCTGATATCATAGGGTTCAACAATACACTTACTGCCTTAATGAAGAACTTGCAGAATCAGGCTTCTTCAGAAAATTCTGAACTGAAATCTGCTTCTGGACAGACTAATCTTACTGGTACAAATAAAACAATGTATGGGCTTGTGCAGTGTTCTCCTGATTTGTCTAGGCATGATTGTGTCGTGTGTGTACAGGATCTATTCAGTTTCTTTCCAAGGTGGTTTGTTACGCCTACATTTACAGCTGCAGGAGCAAGAGTGATAACGCCCAGCTGCAATCTTCGGTATGAAATCTACAGTTTTTATGGTAATGTAACTGATGTAGGTCTTCCGTCATCACCACCCCCACTGCTACCACCACCATCATTTGTATCAAACAGAAGTACTACTGCAAAAGGTACAGGATAAACAAAAGTTTTGAATCAACTGTTATTTTATTACCAGTTATTTTCATTATAGGTTCTGAATGTCTTCAGATTTCTGGGACTTATATGATATTGAACAAATAACATAGGTTTACTATATTTCTCCTGATAGTTGAACAGAGCAAAAAGTCTCATACCACCATTTTCATCGTTCTCCCAATCCTTGGGTCCCTAGTACTCATCATAATCATAGCCTCAATCGGTTTCACACTAAGGAAGAAGAAGCTAAAACAGTCAACCACAAAAATTAACAGTAAGCCAGAACACTACTTTTTTATGAAGTAATATACTTTGGTTTTGTTGACTCAATTGTTTTTAACTATGTAGTTTAACTTTAACCTTTTATATATGTGTCTGTTAATAGAAGAAGAAATTGAAACTCTCCAGTCCTTGCAATACAGTATTGGAACCATCAAGGTTGCAACAGATGATTTTTCAGATAATAATTATCTTGGAGAAGGTGGATTTGGTACTGTTTATAAGGTAAAATCAGTTCCTAAATCTGTCAAATAATCAATTCTGAACTAAAGTTAATGAATCATCTTCGCTGTTTAAGGGGAAGCTACCTGATCACCAAGAAATAGCAGTAAAGAGGCTAGCAAGGAATTCAGTTCAAGGAGATTTACAGTTTAAGAATGAAATTCTGATATTAGCTAAGCTTCAGCATAGGAATCTAGTGAGGCTTCTAGGATTCTGCTTGGAAGAAGATGAAATGCTTCTAATTTACGAGTTTGTGACCAACAAAAGCCTTGACAACTTCCTATTTGGTTAGTAGGAAAAAATTTGTACCGATCATTCCTGCATGTTATGCTCTGATTGTCTGACATTTCAAAAATACAGATACTATGCAAGGTAAATCTATGCCATGGGAAACACGTTACAAAATCATTAACGGCATTGCAAGAGGGCTTCTTTACCTTCATGAAGACTCTAGACTGCGCATTATTCATCGGGACCTTAAAGCTGGTAATGTTCTACTAGATGCAGAATTCAACCCAAAGATTGCAGATTTTGGCATGGCAAGGTTGTTTAACATTGACCAGACTCAGGCAGCAGCAAGCAGGATTGTTGGAACCTAGTGAGTATCACTAAAATAATACCTATATGCAAATATGATCGATTTTGTTATCAATTTTTTTTAACTTTGAGACACGATACTTTGTTTTTTGGCAGTGGATACATGGCACCCGAGTATGTGCTCCATGGTCACGTCTCAATGAAGTCCGATGTCTTCAGTTTTGGTGTACTTATCCTAGAGATTGTAAGCGGTCAAAGGATTAGCTCTTTCCAAATTGGAGAAAATCCCGAAAATCTGCTTACTTTTGTAAGTGGACATGATCATCTTATTTGCATTCAGGTGATACAGGCATTGATTAATCACACAAGATAAGTAAGCTAACAATATATTTTCGGTGTCACAGGCATGGAAAAATTGGCTAGAAGGGAAAGCTTGGAATCTTGTTGATCCTACATTATCTCCTGCATTTAGTACAGAGATATTGAGATGCATACACATCGGTTTGCTGTGTGTCCAGCATAACATGGCAGACAGACCTTCTATGTCTTTGGTTGAGCTTATGCTAAGTAGCTCTTCTCTTTCTCTCCAGGTGCCTTCACAACCAGCTTTTTTCACTCGAAGCCATACACCAGCTAATGCAACCTCTCAAGGGAATACCTCAGGTCAATCTACTAGTAGAATGTTTGAGTGTTCAATAAATGAGGTTTCTATGACAGAAATCTACCCTCGATAGTACAACCCTACTACTTGAAGCTTCTGATAGATGAACATCCTTATAAACTATTTACATGATTAAAGTTTCAGTTTTTTTTAGTCCATACGACTCTGAAATAATCTATGAGAGCAAGAAAGCAGGGGCTTGCAATAGAGTTGCTATGAACAGTTATGGCTGTACATAGAAGTGATGCAGAGGAAAGAAGTACAGCAGCCAACAGGGAACAGGTTCCATTCAGCTTTATAATTTAGCTGTAGAGGTGTATTATTTAAACAACCTTCTTCATTTTAAGGCATTTTAGGAAGATTAAGAGGTGTGTACAAATGCATTGGTTCATTTGATCATTATTTATGTATTGTGAAGATTGAAAGACCCATTCAGTTAATTGAATCCTTAACCTAAAATGTAAGAATATGGCTGGCATAATTTCAATCATCTGGGATAAATGAGAAGCATTGTTTGAAGGAAATGCAGAAGTTTTGTCAGAGATTTCAATCAACAGAGTAATTAAAGTCTTATAGGTTATGCTAGACTAAAATAAATCACAAGTATATGTTGATGCTACAAGAGATGTAAGCTTCCATTTTTGAGAAATAACACAAGACACAAAGCACATGATTAGCTTAAGGCTACATGACTACATCTCTCAATCTGCTACTACGTCAGTCACATTTTACACTACATAATCTATATTTATGCACCAATACAAAGAAGTGGAGAAAGATATGGCATAAAAAAGTGGACAAAGTCCATAACATACCAGAATATATGAATTCATAGAGACTTGATGCTACATTTACACTAAAACTTCTACTACCTATGTAATCTTACTGGTGCACAGTGTAGTAAAATATTCAAGCATTCTAAATTTCAAACAAACTAAGAAAGACGAGTACACTTTGAGCAAAACTGCAAAACAACATGAACCTTTCATGGTTTAGAAAGGTTCTACATATGTTTTGTTTTACGAGATCAAGAATCATTGATATTAAAAAGGCCTTCGATTCAAAGCATTTGTTTTATAACAGAGAAAACTACGGAAACATGAGTACCCTGTTTTATGTTTTGTTTTCCAAGATCATCCATCACTTGTTCACAGAATGGACATTATTTAAGAAAATAATGCAGAAAGTCTTGTAAGAACACAGATTAAAACAAACTTACCTTCTTACAGTACTTTAGATCCTTCATAAGAGAACAGGCGAACTGCATTTGAGTAGCTTGTTTCTGCAAGTTCTTCTGTACTTATCTCAAGCAGAGAAGCCACATAGGTCAGAACATTATGAATATTAGCTGGATGATTCAACATTCCTTTTGGCAATTCTTGTGCTTCGTTTTCAGCTTCTGATATGTCACAGTTATCCCTTAAATGTGGATTCTCTTCTAGTGTCTGAAGTTCAGGAGGAAGGGAAGGATCACCTTCCACCACATACAAATCACCCAAATTGAACTTAGGCAAGGCATCAGGGGCATCAGTCTCGAGCAGTATTCTATCAGAAGGCACTACTTTCAGCAATTTCCTTGCCTTTTGAGATTCCATTGGCATAAGATGTCCAGAGAACGAAAAATAAGCACCAAGCCTTGCTAATTCAGGAACCATCTCAGCAGACCCTAAATAAGAGTGAAGAATTACTCCATCAGGAAACGGCCCAACTTCCTTCATCACATCAAGAATCTCACCAAAGGCACGAACACAATGAACAGAAACCGGCCTTTTCAGCTATTTCACTAATTCTAGCTGTTTCTTGAACACCTCAACCTGAACGTCAAAATCAGTCTCTTTCCCTCTGAACCCTTTATCAAGACCAATCTCCCCAACAGCTGCACAGGGTGTTGACTCAAAATACTGTTTCAAAACGGTAAACCAGTCTGCCGTCCTCTCAGGAACAAACCACGGATGAACACCAAAAGAAGGAACAACAGATGGATATGACTCACTCATCTGCTTGACTGAATCCCAGTCCTTCTCCGAAACCCCATTAACAACAAAATAATCAATGCCGGATTCAAGAGTATTGATTAATCGTGGGGTGAGGCTTAAAATCCTCGGGTCCTGAAGGTGACAATGTGCATCAAAGAGTTTCATTGCCTCTAACCAACTTACACAAACTACTCTCAATTCTCAAATCAATCACACTATGCTGTCCTCAACAATGGAATTTCTGTTTTCTAAGAAAGAATCTATCCATAAATGGAAACTTGCAACAATCCCAAGTTCAATTAGCCCTATAATTTCATAACAATGATGCACAAAATGTTAATTTCATAAGCAAATTTTCAAGAAAGTAGAAATTAATCAATTGAATCTCAGCATAATTCACTAACTCACAAAGAAATCAACAAATCCAAAATAAAACCCAATTCTTCTTATTGGACTGAATCAATGATCGCAATTCATTAAATCGCTAATAATTCGATTAATATTGAACTAAATAGGTGTATCTACAGAAATAATTAAAATCATCCAAGTTCAATAATAAACAATAATAATTGCGGAATTCCACTGATAAATCAGATTAAAACACAAAAAGTTAGTACAAATTTGCGGATTTGATACCTGAAAACTAAAATTTGGGGTTGAGATGAAATATTAGTGCTGAAATGATCTTCAGGAACCCGGCAAAAAAAAGTCAACGATGGTTACTCTTTTGCACAATTTCAGTTGTTTGATGTTTTTTTTTTGACGGGAAGAACAAAAAAAAAAAAAAACTCCGACCCGATTAAGTGGCCCGTAATGCCAATAATACCCGATATATTTTGAGTCCTGACCCGAATTTGGCTTGAAAATCCAAAACTCTACGGCCCAAAAATACGGTCCAGCCCAGTAACTTGGACAGAAAATTACTCCCTCCGTTTTTAAATACTTATTCCATTTTTTCATGTGCAAAATTTTAGGAGCATTTGGAGAAAGTAATAAAATATGAAGGTAGTGGGGTAAGTGAAAGAATAAAAAAATTTATACAGTACCAGACTACCAGTAATTGAGAGAATTGGAGGAGAGATAATATAAAATGAATAAAAATATGATTTATGTTAGGTCTACTAGTTTAGAAAAATGAATTCAATATTGTAAAAGTTTTACAAATAAGAAAATAAAGCAAGTGTTTAAAAATAATCGAGAAAGGAAAGTGGAGCAATATTTAAAAATAGAGGGAGTATATAATTTGATTTTGCCGGTGACACCAAAGTACGTCCTTCATGCCTCATGGTCACATTTCCATGAAGTCCAATGTCTTCAGCTTTGGAGTACTTGTCCTAGAGATGGTAAGCGGTCAAAGGATTAGCTCATTCCAATCTAGAGACAATCCTGAAAATATGCTTACCTTTGTAAGTATGATTACTAATTGTAAACATCGATAATTAACCAAATAAATTAAATAGCCTAACAATGTTATTATTTCGATGTCACAGGCATGGAAAAATTGGCTAGAAGGAAATGCATGGAATGTTGTTGATCCTACATTATCCCCTGCATTTAGTACAGAAATATTGAGATGCATACACATTGGTTTGTTGTGTGTGCAACATAACATGGCCAATAGACCTACGACGTCTTCAATAGGTCTTATGCTAAGTAGCAGCACCATGACTCTCAACGTACCTTCACAGCCTGCGTTTTTCTCACGAAGTCACACACCATCAAGTATGCCCTCACCGGAACATAGTTCAAACCAATCGAGTAGTCAATTGCCTGCTTGTTCAATTAATGAGGGTTCCATCACACAGGTCTACCCTCGATAGTACTGCCTGATTGAGGCTGCTTATATCCAAACTTAAAGCCGCCGAATTTTGCACTGTTTGGACGTTTGGTCATAATATACACAGATCAATAGAGATGAAGCTCTAGTGTATGTCTTGACTCTTGACCATTACAATTTTCATTCCAAAGGAAAAAAACTGGTAATAAAAAAAGCTACTATTTAAGCATTGCAGCCAATGGCCCAGTGGGCCTGAATTTTTGGCCTAATGGGCCTGAATTTTGGGCCTAATGTGTGTGATGTTGGACAGTCCACTCATTTTCAATTCTCTATAGGAATTTAGGCAACACCCATTTTCTGTAGTTTTCTTTGTCAAAGAGTGTGTCAGTGTACTGGACACATATGCTAAGAGCACTCTCACTCATGGTCAAAAATATGCCCATAAGGAGAAATTCAAGGTAAAAAACCAAAAATATGTATCCTACTCATGAGCAAAAAAATAAATGCCCATGAGGAAAATAAGAAATGCCCAAGGTCATGGCATTTTTGTAATGCTACAGTAACTTGTGTAGCCCACTAATTAAATCTAAAAATAGATATTTTGACTAATTTAACGTATTTAAAAACAAAAATAAAATTATTAATGTTCATAATTTATTTTTATCTATAAGTAGACACCCATTTTGTTATATTTTTGTGCACTTCGAAAAATCACATTTTTCTACTTAATTCGTTATTATTAAAAATTTTACTTTTGTTGTGGGTTTATTTTAGCCCATGAGTGTGTGAGGACTTGTATAAAAAAAAACGCCCATGGAAAAAAGTGGAAAAGAAGAGTGAGAAAGTGGGTAGAGAGAGAATGACAATTTATTTTTTTGACCATGAGTGAGAGTGGTCTAATTGTGCTTCAAAATTCAAAAGCATGCAATAGCATACTACTCCGTATGATATTGTTATTTATTTTTAATAAATAATAATAAATTCGTAACTAAAAAAAACAATAATATATACCAAAATAGCTAATTTGACAAAAGTATTTACCAAAACGGTTAATTATAAAATCTAATTCCCAAACTAGATAAATTCATTGATTTGAAAGGATATTATTTATTTTTTTATTCCTTTAAACCGATTCGGTTCACTGACTTCACTCTGATTCGATTAACTTTATGGTTTTTTTTTAGGTATTATTTAAAAAGAATTACTTCGTAGTTGTTCCTTTTAGCCTCTTATCTCCAAAGTACTACTGTTTCAGGATTTGCTCTTACAACCTCATTCATCCATTGAGGGAGAATCTTGTTTGATACAAATTCTTAAATGGACCTAGTTCACACTAATTTATTGTGGACCACTAACATTAGAGAAAGTATGATTTTTTTATTAATAAAAAAAGGGTCACCATAATTTTAAAAAAAAGTTCACTATTTTGAAATAAAAATCATTTTGGTAATATATAGGCCTAAGTGGTTATTTTGTAATGAAATATTTTATATACAGATCAATATGAATAATAAAGGACACTATGTTAAAATTAGGATAATAGCGTCGTATTTCAAGTTTAAGGTTACTATGTTAAAAATAATGGTCACTATGTTCAATATAATGTCAGTTGCGTCTTGCGTGTGTATAGACCTCGGGTCCACAACACGCAAGTCTTTTTGCTTGTTTGATTCATCCCAATCACCAAATAAGTTCCTTATAGCCTTTTGTTTTGCTAACCTAGCTTTCTTGTAACTTATCTGAAAGTTAAACCTCAAGTTGATATGTGTTACTATTGCTGCCACAGTTAGAGAAAATTGAGCATTCACAAATTGTTCAATCTTGCTGTCCACAAAGTTGGAGTCTAAATTAAAAAATATATATTTATATTAACAAACATTAATAAAAAGTATAGAATTAATAGACATGAAAAAGATGAGCAATACTTTTTTTTTTTTTTTTACTTGAGATAAACAATACCTTAAAGTCCCTTATTGTCGTATAAATTTGCGGTAGTATTGATAGAACAATACTACTTGAAATTTCTAATTTTTGTGATTGATATGATCAAGATGAAAAATTAGAGCTTTTAATTTTAATTTATTTTTATCGAAATAAGGGTTCTGCGAGTCTGTAATTGTTTACATTCTTAGTAGCTTTGTGCTTAAATTTTCCAACTTAAAAAATCTTTAAGGAAATAAAAATAAAACCAGAAAAACAAAAATAAAAAAAAAATAATAAAGTAAGTGAACCAAACCGGTTCAATGGAAATAATACCTAAAGATTATCATTTCAAATCAATAAATTTAGCTAGTTTGGGAATTAAATTTTATAATTAGCCGTTTTGGTAAATACTTTTATCAAACTAGCCATTTTAGTAAAAGATCATGTTTATTTATCCTACTATTTTGTTCTTAAAATAAACGAGTGTATCAGTGTATCTTGAAGATCATGCACATGTGTCCATAATGTGCATGTAACTTGATTATAATACTCCGTAATAGTTAAACAACTTCTTCTCTTTGTATTATTAAAACTTCAAATATCTTTAGACTATAATCTTCAATTGAATAAAAAAAAAATCTCATAAAACATTTGTCATCATAATTGACCTTTGACCCCATAAAAATATAGTACATTTTTGTCACCAATTTAATAGTATATAATTCATAGCCACCCATTATAAAACGAAGTAAATTAAATCATTGTTTAATCAAATTCACTCCATTCCAAACCCAATCTTAACTTTTTATTAAGTCACTTAATTAGAAATAATTGATGGCCACTTCTTGTTGACTAGCAAGTAAGCTGCCTTCGGAAAGTTCTATCCACTAACCTTTAAATAGTAACCTCAGCTCATTAGTTGAGAACAAACTTCCGTTTCTTATTTTTTTGTTACGTTTGGAATATTTTTGTGAGAGAAGAATACTTTAAGTGTATTGAATGAGATCCTAATTTATAATACTGTATAATAAAATAAAATAATCCTAATTTGTAATCTCGTGATCAAAGCTTATATTTCCTCCGTTTTCTTTTACTTGCAACACTTCCCTAAAAAGGAAATGTCACAATATTTGCAACACACTACAAAAGAAAAATTGCTTTATGGAAAAACTATATTATTTCCCTTATTTAAAGCATATGGCCTACTAAATTACACTCCTAACAACCACTCATCTCATTTTAAAGTGTATTATATTATGTGAACCCCACATTTCTTAAATACAGTGAAAAAGTGTGTATTGCATCTAAAATAAAACGGGGGAAGTAGTAATTTAAAAAGAGATTCTTTGAATGATTTATAAAGGGCGTAGCAAGTGGAGTGACATAAGAATGATAACAATAGAAATGGATGGGATGATAGATGTTTATATGAGGATAAGTGATAGACCAATAATATTTTTTGGTCAACATATTCTTTCTGCAATTATATACTCCTTCTGTCTTTTGTTTTTTGCTTCATGCTGTAATAATGTTACTTTATTACTAAGTAATTTTTTCGTTGAAATAAAGTAATATAGAGAAGAGTGGTGGAATTTAAAGGGTGGTTTTAAGAATAAAGGTGTATATCCTTAGCTTTAAGGGCTTGTTCATATTTACTTAATTTCAGTTCAGTTCAGCTTCAATAAGTTCAGTTCAGCTCCAATCAATTCAATTCAACTCAGTTTAGTAAATATGAACTGACCCTAAAGATAAAATGAGGCAAAATTAAAGAGACGAGCTACAAAGGAAATTGAAGAAAGGGTGGAATAATTAATTACGCATCATTAGTTTTGAAGAAACAACATGAATTGAAAACATTAAGTTGAAACCAACTTTTCTATCTCATTGACTAGTTAGTTCGTTAACCAAAATTGATCCTCAAGAAAAATATTCACCATTCTTTCTTCCATTTCTTACTTTAGTTTGTACTATATATTTTTCCTTCTTCAATATTTTTGCATGCATCGCTTGACAAACAAAATTAATGCTAATATGGAGTCTTCAAACCTTCACTTCTTAGTACTCAGTCTCATAATTTCTTCTACCATGCCCAAGTTTGTCTCAGCTCAGAGCTCGTTCCGCAGGCAGTGGTGCAGCGACACGACTTACGCACCAAACAGCACTTACCAATCCAACCTTCAAGCAGTCCTAAACTCTCTATCGACAGACACTCGAATCACCTACGGGTTTTACAATATAACAGCAGGACACGAACCGGACAAAGTGAGTTCATTAGCCCTATGCAGGGGTGATGTCCCTGTTAATACATGCCGGAATTGTATTAAAAACTCGGCTATTTTGCTCATTAATACCGTTTGTCCTAACCAAATGGAAGGATTTGGGTATAGTGGATATTGCTCAGTATTTTTCTCAAACCGTTCTATTTATGGGAAAGTACAAAATGTGGTAGACCCATGGTTTTATGCAGATAGACCACCTGTTACGAATACTCGTGGTTTCAGTGATGCACTGTCTTTGCTGATGCAATCGTTGAAGAATCGAGCTGGTTCCGGTAACTCAGAGATGAAGTATGCTGCAGACAAGGCTAATACATCAGGTGGTCAGAGTTTGTACGGTCTTGTGCAGTGCACACCAGATTTGTCAAAGCGAAGTTGTATGCAGTGTAGTCAAAAGTTAATTGATTATTTCCCTTCGTGTTGTATTCAATCGAATTACACGGCTTCTGGAGTTATGCTTGTTTTACCGAATTGCTTTGTTCGGTATGATATCAATTCCTTCTATGGGAATGTGCCTGATGATCCTCTGCCTACGTCGTCACTCAACATCAGTCCATCAAATAATGCTACTACTTCAGGTAATATCGAACACATAATAATTCATACCTCAATTGTTGCTTGAAATACTTTGTCAAGTTTTTTGGACTAGTTAACAATTATGGATTATATGATTTATGGTAGGTCGAAAAAGTAATAAGACTCGAATAGTCGGTATTGTTTCAATCGCACTTGGTGTGTCAACTATGTTACTTGCTACAAGTATCATCTTCAGCATCTTATTAAAGAAAAGAAAATTGAGGAAATCTTGGATGGTGAAATTCAGCAGTAAGATTTTTAGTCTAATTTACAGCTTTCTTTCATGTAATTTGCTTCTTGTATATAATAATGTTGGTAATTTTGTTAATGGGTAAGTGCAGAAGATGAAATTGAGGAAATAAAATCGTTACAATTTAGTCTTGGAGCTATGAAGCAGGCAACACAGAACTTTTCTGAGGAATATAAGCTCGGAGAAGGCGGATTTGGCTCTGTTTATAAGGTACTAATTCAATCAAACAACTCGATAGAGAGTATGAGTACAAATAAGCCATCTTTTTTTTAATTTCCTAATCCATTTTTCAGGGTGTACTTCCTGATGGACAAGAGATAGCAGTGAAAAAACTTGTAAAGAACTCGGGGCAGGGCGATGCAGAGTTTAAAAATGAAGTACTGATATTAGCAAAGCTCCACCATAGAAATTTGGTGAGACTTTTGGGATTTTGCTTACATGGAAAAGAAATGATTCTCGTCTACGAGCTCGTTGCTAATAGAAGCCTTGATAAGTTTATATTTGGTGAGTGAAAAAACTTCTGATAGAATGATGGTAAGCTTAAGTCGATAGTTGAGGCTAAGAATATGTTTTATACTCTATCACTCCCCCTCATATGAAAGACCATTTGGGCTTGATATGTGGATGCAACACATGCCCTTACATACCCGAAGAGGGGTGAATGAGATGCAGCATAGGTCATTCGTGACCTTTGTGTCATGCTGACTCCGATACTATGTTAATGGACAACTCAACCAAAAGCTTAAGCTTAAGCTGATGGCTGAGGTCCACGAATATAATTTATACTCTATTAGATTTGATACCTCGCTCTAAGGGAATTGATTTTAATTGATCAATAAGATTGTCTAAAATTCTGTTACACGTAATCAAATGCAGATCCATTAAGTCGCCAATCTATGCAGTGGGAAACACGTTACAAAATCATCAATGGCGTTGCTAGAGGGATCTTGTACCTCCATGAAAATTCTAGACTAAAAATCATACATCGCGACCTCAAAGCAGCTAATATTCTCTTAGACGAGGATTTCTATCCTAAGATCGCAGATTTTGGTATGGCAAGGCTATTTAACTTTGATCAAACTCAAACACAAGCTAGCAAAATTGTCGGTACCTTGTAAGCATCCAAAATCTTCAAACTCTACCTACCATATTAGTATTGGCTTATGTTTTTATGATTTCTTTGTACAAGAAATAAAATATCTTGTTTTTGCAGAGGTTACATTTCACCTGAGTATGCTCTTGAACGTCAAGTATCAGTAAAGTCAGACGTCTACAGCTTTGGTGTACTCGTCCTAGAGATAGTAAGCGGGCAAAGGATTACTTCATTTTTTTACGATGAGGACAATCAAGAAAACCTCTTAAGCTTTGTAAGTTACCTTATAAAAATTTGACATATTTTGATAACTTTCTTTCACAATGTTACAAAAATTTATAAATGGCATTTGAAACATTGGTTTATAATAGGCTTGGAGAAATTGGACTGAAGGCAATGCTTCTTATCTGGTAGATCCTGTAATACAACCCGGTTCTAGTACCGAGATATTAAAATGCATCCACATCGGTTTGTTGTGTGTCCAAGACGACCCTACGGACAGGCCAACGATGGCTGCAGTCGATCTTATGTTGAGTAGTGATTCTGTTACACTTCAAGTACCGGCGCAGCCTGCATTTTGTACCGAGGACCAAAATCTACCTGATATGCTCTTGGAGTGGAGTACAACGACTAAGTCGAGTGTAAGATTAGAGGGAGGTTCAATCAATAATGTTTCGATAACAGAGTTGCACCCTAGGTAATGGAGCTTAAGATGACCCTAGAAGGTATCGAATGGATACCCGGAATTAATTGTCAAGTGAATAGTTTTTTCTTCGTTTTTATTATAGTTGTAATAGTAGTTTGACTTTTACATTATTTATGTGTTTTACTTTGACTATTGTTGATGACTTATACTCAAGCAAATACATAGTAATTTGAGATCTTTTATATTCGTCTCGATTTATACTATTTTAATATTAAATATTTATAATTTTTACATATTGGTAATTAAAGATATTAGCGATTGAAATCATATATGGTATACGTGAAAAGAGAAATGTTGCTATAAAAAAAATATATAGCGGAAGTATATATTAAACCATGTTACTTATGACTACTAAATTATTTACACAAACAGGTGAATCGATTGATGTATTATCGACTTATCGTGAGTTTAGCCTTGTAACAAAACACGACGCTATTTATTTGAAATAGATTTCCTGACGTTTAAATTAAGAATACAGTGATTTGAATATCATTTTCTTGGTTCTTTTGTATAAATAGTTAAGAAATATGGAGTGACTTTTTGTTATCTTTGCGAAGTAGTTTTGATTTGAGCTCAAAGTTATCACTAATAAATTATAAAAAGATTATACTTAGGGTCTGTTCACTTCAACTTAATTTCAGTTCAGTTCAGCTCTAATCAGTTCAGTTCAGCTCCTAATTTCCTTTCTCATAAATATTCATTTCAGCTCTATTTAGTTCAGTTCAGTTTAATTAGCTTCAATTCATTTCATTTCAGTTCACTAAATGTTAACAGACCCTGAGTCAATTTGTCTTTTTCAAATTAAAAGATTATTGTAGGAATAATACTAGTAATTGTCTACAAGACTACTACGTCCTAGACTTTAGGGTACTACTTGATCAATTATTCAAGGTAATTTCGTTACCTTAGCTTGACTCGTGATCCATTATTGATCCATTATTCAAGATTTTTTTTTTTCATTTGGTCAAGAAGGACAAAACATGACAATTTGACAATGAATAACCACCCATTGTTCCTTGTATTACAGTTAGACATGAAGATTTTTTTTTTTTTCCTTTTCATTTGGTCAAGAAGGACAAGAACATGACAGCTTAACAAATGAATGACCAAGAAAAGAAGATGAACAGACTATAGGCACAAGTTGTTACCCTATTTATGGGACGGGTTAGTTATTAATAAACCATATTCCCTCTGTTTCACAATTATCATAACATTGATTTACACATATACGGACTCTATAAATTTTATGAGATTAAGATGTGAACAAACTTACAAACATAAAATATATTACGAATTTATAATTATTATATTCTAAACCACATCAATTAAAAAAAAAAAAAAGGAGGCTTTCGTTCTTATGCTTTTGGGATCTAACTTTATTACTCCCTTCATTTTCAGTTAATCTATCATTTTAATCATCGAAGGGTTGAATTTCAGTTAAGCCTAAAGACCAAAATATCAAACGAAGCTCATCCATATTGACTAATAATAAATTAATATTATTGTAATAATTCGCATGTGAAGTTGACTAATTACTAGTACTGTGTACCTTTCAAATAAAAAAAAATAGTAAATAAATACAATTAAACCTACTCTTAAATTTTTATTTTGTGGCCATCTTCTTACGTCAACGATACTGTTAACGGTTTATTGTGGACTCGACAATTCCCATTGAAGAGGGGCACGCACTTGCTCTACAATGTGACTTTTTTGGATGGTTATGTGCTTAAAAATATGGATTGGACAAGATTTGATCTCAAGATTTCAAGTTTTAAAACTATATATATTGGTAGCCACTTAGCTATACCATATTTTATTAAATTTAAATATAATTAAGTAACTCGAAGCATCGCCCGAGGCCTAAAAACTAGTTGTAAAATTATAAATAGTACAGTGTATTTTTAAAAGTAATTATAGTCTTTATATGGAGTGATTTAAATACTTACAATGGTTACATCCTTATTTGTTACATGAATCTGATCATCTTATCTACTTCGAGCATACTCCTCCGTATTTTATTCGTTGCTCCATTTTTTTTATTACAAAATTTAGTAGAAAACAATAAAATATGAATGAAGTGCTAATGGTTTTAAAAAAATAAAGTATGAAAGTTAGGAGGAGAAATATATAATATGAAAGTCTTTAACTATGATAAGGAAGTAGTAAATAAGGCTGCAAAAGAAAAGTGGAGGAAGTAATTAAATATGGAGGGATGGTATGTTTTAGAGTTTTACTAATCTGTTTATTTTATATATATATATTTTTTTTTTGACAAATACTCTTTTAGTTTGCACGTATAAAACTATTTTAAATTGGCTTTTTTTTTAAAAAAAATTATTTTTGAAATTATTTTTTTATATTTTTTATAATAATAATAATAATAATAATAATTATTATTATTATTATTACTATTATTACTATTACTACTATTACTACTATTACTATTACTATTACTATTACTATTACTATTACTATTACTATTACTATTACTATTATTATTATTATTATTATTATTATTATCTCTTTCCTTTTTGTCATGTTTATGGCTTTATTTACTAAAATTTAGGAGAATAGACGCGTCCTATATTTTGGAATAATATAATAGTGAATCACATTACATGAGTTTAATTTACAACTAGAATATGTTAAAATACTGCGTTCAAATAATTAGTGTTAAAGTGGAGAAAACGGCTTAGGCTTGCATTGATTATACGACTATATATATATATATATAATAATAATAATAATAATAATAATAATAATAATAATAATAATACAAAAGGAAACCTGACAAGCCTAAAATCCTAACAAGATAGACTTAACATAAATATAATATTAACAATTATAAAACCAAACTGACTTCTAATAATACTCCCCATCAAGTTGGAGCATGTAGATCACGAATGCTCAACTTGCGTAACAAAAATCCAAACCGTTGTCATTCAAAAGCCTTCGTAATAATATCTGCCAACTGATGATTCGTCGAAACGTATTAAGTAGAAATATTACCTTTCAACAACTCATCACGTACAAAATGACAATCTACCTCATTATTCTTCGTACGATCATGAAACACCGGATTCTTAGCTATATGCAAGGCCGAATGACTATAACAAAACAACTGCATAGATTTCGAATGATCAACACCAAGAGCAAACAACAACTGTTTCAACCATTTAACCTCACAAGTAGTGACTGACATAGATCTGTATTTGGCTGAAGCCGAAGATCGGGAAACTGTAGGTTGTTTCTTAGTCTTCCAAGAAACAGACAAATGACCTAAAAACAAAAAATAACCTGACCAAAGGAACGTCAAAAAAGACATGCCGCCCAATCACTGTCACAAAAACTCCGTCGGGTGTAAATCCTTCATAGGTCACAATAAGATGCCTTGTCCCGGACCACCCTTAAGGTACCGTAAGACACGAATAACCGCATCCCAATGAGAAACTTGCGTATTACTCAAAAACTGAGCCAAAACATGCAATATCAACTGCACAGCAAGCACGCACACACGCACCACAGAACAACACGATACACCAAAGCGTAGCACCACAACACCACGCAAACAACAACAGCGTACCACAATAGCAGCACATCACAACATCAGCGCACCTACGGAGCACCAAAAAATCTCAACATACGCACACCACAAGGCAGCGTACAACACAACACACATACACAATATGCGCACTACAAAGGCACAAACTAACCAAAAATTAGAGATTGTAAACCTTAAATTAACCAAACAGAATTTTGTGAAAAAAAAAATTGAAGCCCTAATCTCACTAAGAAATTAGCTTGCGGGGAAAAAAAAATTGAAGAACAAACCAAGATCGAAAAAAAAGTTCTCTAGAAATTAGAAGGCTTAGATATCATGTTAAAGTGAAGAAATATGTGGAGAAAACGGCTTAGGCCTTGCATTGATTATAAGACAATATATATACACAATACGAAATAGATTTAATATAAATACAATATTAACAAATATAAGACCAAACCGACTATGAGAGTGATTTACATTTTTTTTTTTTTTTTTGATGTTTTTGAGAAATTTCAGCTTATAATATTGAAGTTTCTTACATTTTCTTTGAAATCTAAGTGTCTAATCCACTTTTTCATTATTGGAGTTTTATCCAAATTGCTACGAGTATAGTGTTCCACTTTCAAGTTTCAACTAATCGTAGTACTTTAGGAGAGGACCGTTTACCACATTTTGCTCCCAAAAAATATCAAATAGAGCTTATCTTTTATCTTATTGTGGAAATGAAGCATGCGTGCTAATGGAGATGTAATTATTCAATGACTTTATACAATTATTTTGAATAGTCAAATATGTTAGTTTTCTTCTTCCTTTAACGTGGAATAGTTAATCCCTATTCACATATACATGTGGATAAAAGATGTATGGATTAAGATTGAATTCATAGATTACTGCATCACACCCAATCAAAACTTATAAAAGTAAAAATTCTCTTATAAGACGAATCTAATGTAAAAGACGGCATACTAATCCATAGTATCGCACCTAGCTAGCTCCACCACCAGCAAACACCCTGATTGTTCCAAATAGAAAAACCACAACTCACCAAGCCCATAGTTCCATACAATGCTCCACTAGTGGTGTTCTGCATTATTTTATTAACGGAGTGGCGGCTTTGACCAAATAGCAATACATTATTAATATTGTGTTATCTCGTCAAAAAATATATATTATGTTATAGATAGCAACAGAATATAAGTTTTATAGATAATGGTAATAACATAATATTTTTTTTATTATCTAATTATATCTTAATAATGGTTTTATTTTATGGTACATATGGTAAAACATAATATTTTTACCCTTTTGAAGCCAAATTACATTCCTCTTTGGAAATTTACACGGGAATTAAGGAGAAAAGAATAAGACAAATAATAATAATTAGATAATGCAATGAGAAGTACAAAGATAGATTAATTATTACTCATGACATGTCATCAATCCTTTGCAAAAAAAAAGGATTAATCACATACTCCTAATTGAAAATTTTTAACCAATCATATTCATTGTAATTTGGCACAAGGATTATGAGTGAGATTAGGTAAGGATGAATGAGAAAACATTAAATATAAAACAGAAAAAGAGAGTTGATTTACTAAAAAAAAATTAACAAAAATAGAAAGAAGGAATGTAATTTTGGAATACTAAAAATAAAAAGGAGGAATGTAATTTAGGGACGGAGGGAGTACTAGTAATAATTTCTTATAAGTTGTAACACTCCAAGTTTTTTATAGATAGCAACAGAATATAAGGCAACTTCGCTATGACTCGTATGATAACAACCCGTGACCCAATTTACCCTTTTCGTCATATAATATTTATTTATGACCCGAATTTACCCTTTTCGTCTTTTAAAAATTATTTATAGACCTCTGTTAGCTACCATCTGAATCACATTCACAGCAAATATGAAATTAACCAAATTATTCTTCTTAGTATTTTTGGTTCAACTATTTTATGTCATTCCCAAAACTTCTGCTCAATTATTTGAGTTTCTCTATAATTTGTGTGGAGAAAATCACTCCACTCCCAATGCTTATCTAACAAACCTTAAAACAACCCTCAATTCTATGTCTTCAAACACCCAAATCACCTATGGTTACTATAACTTCACCGCCGGTCAACAACCCAACAAAGTCGAAGCCATGGCTCTCTGCAGGGCCGATATCTCAGTCGATGATTGTCGTGATTGTGTCAGTTCTTCTGCTTCTAGTCTGCTTTCAGTCTGTCCCAACAGTATGAAGGCGTTCGGGTATTCTGACAACTGTGTAATATATTACACAAACATCAGTCTGTTTCATGTTTTAACAGATAGGCCATTTTGGGCTCTTCGGTTTGATGGCAGAATTACTGCTGATATCCCCAAGTTTAACAGTTCGCTTACTACTTTGATGACCTCTTTGCAAAACAAGGCTTCCTTAGGTAATTCTGTTCTTAAATTTGCTACCGGAAACACGAAAGTTACTGCCAATCAATCCTTGTATGGTCTTGTTCAGTGTAGTCCTGACTTGAATAGGCTCGACTGTGTTAAGTGTGTGCAAAATCTCACTTTGAGTGTCTTCACACAGTATTTTATCACCACTAGTCCTTTATATATGGCTAAAGGAGGAAGAGTGGTTTCGGCTAGTTGCAATCTTCGGTATGAGCTCTATCCTTTCTATAAGAATGTAACTTACATAGCTACTCCACCTGCCTCCAACAGAAATGCCACTACTTCTATTCAAGGTAAGAAAATATGTAGAATTAATTTTTTTTATGTTTTTTTTCTCTGGTTAATTTAGCTCTCTTTCACTATTATAATTAGTCCTAACTTGTATCATGGATTTGTGTTATGTTTTTTTAGGTGCAAGTAGTAGCAAATCACATAAAATCATTGCTATCGTTGTTCCGATTGTTGGATCATTAGTACTCATCCTTATCATAGCTTCCTTCTGTATCTTTGTACGAAGGAAGAAGCAGATAAAGTTTTCAGGAAATTTTGACAGTAAGCAAGAATTCTTTGTAGCAGTCCAATATTATTAGTAAACTACAAATTTAATCTTGTAATGTTATTTATATAATTTGTATAGAGGAAGAAATGGACACTCTTCAATCCTTACAATTCAGTACTGGGGCAATCAAGGTTGCAACAGAGAACTTTGCTGTTGAAAATGTGCTCGGAAAAGGTGGATCCGCCACTGTTTACAAGGTAATTGTTTAGTAATTGTCTAGGATTTATAACATCAAATGCAAGAGCTAATAAGAATAAATCTTTGTATCAGGGAAAGCTGACTGATGGGCAAGAAATAGCGGTGAAGAGGATCGAACGACATGCAGTTCTAGGGGAAGAGCAGTTCAAAAATGAAATTCTGACCCTAGCAAAGCTGCATCACGGGAATCTAGTGAGACTTCTCGGATTCTGCTTGGAAGAAGATGAAATGCTTCTCATTTATGAGTTTGTCGTCAATAAAAGCCTTGACGCCTTTCTTTTTGGTTAGTATTTACTGCTTAAAGTTGTTCTATCCTTTTATTTTCATTAGTAGTTTGGCAAATCATCTAAGGCTTGTACATAATTACAGACCCAGAGCACCGTGCATCTATGCACTGGGATACGCGGCTTGACATTATTAATGGCGTTGCTAGAGGACTCCTATACCTGCATGAAGATTCACAACAGCGGATTATACACCGTGACTTGAAAGCTGCTAATGTTCTGCTAGACGCTGATTTCATCCCTAAGATTGCAGATTTTGGCCTAGCAAAGTTGTTCAAGGCTGACCAATCTCAAGCAGTGGCAAGCAAAGTAGTTGGTACTCAGTAAGTATCATAACATTAGCAGCTTTTTCCATGTTGGGATTTCTTTTTTTGATAAAATGTTGGGATTACTATTAATTGTTTGAAACTTTAACTTTGAAAGATGACATTGGTTTGTTACAGCGGATACATGCCACCGGAGTATTTGATCCAAGGTCAGGTGTCATTGAAGTCGGATGTGTTTAGCTTTGGTGTACTTGTTTTGGAGATAGTAAGCGGCCAAAAGATTAGCTCTTTCCAAATTGGAGAAAAACAGGAAAGTCTGCTTGCTTATGTAAGTGTTATCATTTATTCTTACACTCAGCTTATGTAAAACTTGATTAACACATATCAAACTAGTTTCTTAACATTAAATTATGATGTCTTAGGCATGGGAAAACTGGCAAGAAGGCAAAGCGTGGAATCTTGTAGACCCTGCACTATCCCCTGCTTTTAGTGCTGAGATACTGAGATGCATACACATCGGTTTGCTATGTGTTCAGAATAACATGGCCGATAGACCAACTATGTCTTCAGTATCTCTTATGCTAAGTAGCAACACTATGACCCTGGAAGCGCCTTTGCAACCAGCATTTTTCAAACAAAACCGTCCCATGCTACTAAGTGAACCTTCACAAGACAATTCCTCAGATCAATCAAATAGCAGATCATTATCAGTTAATGAAGCTTCTGTGACAGAGCTCTACCCTCGATAATAGAGATGCTGCTAATGTTACAACTGTGTCTGCAGCTTTATAATTACAGTATAATTTATTGCAATATAATAGTAGCCAACTGTTGTTACACCATGTGATGATTTGTAGAGACCCTCCCAAAGTGATGCTAAATATGGGAAGTAAAAAAGGAAACTGACCTACAATCATGCAATCACAGGACTTGTTCTCTTCAGCTTAATTTCAGTTTAGTTCAATTCAGTTCAGTTTAGCTCCAATCAGTTCAGTTTAGTTTAGTTCCTAATTTCCTTTTCTCATAAACAATTCAGTTCAGCTGAGTCAGCTCAGTTCAGCTTTAGCAAATTAAACTATTATGTTCAGGGGAAAAAAAAACACACACACACACAGTGATACTTTTGGATCCACATCAAAGTAGAATCAATTGTTGTGTTAACAAATAATAATGTCTAGCAAAATCAGAAAAATCATTATTAGAATCATGCTGTGTTAACAAGCAAAATATTGAGTACAATTATCATTCATTGACATGAAGGAAATAAATTTTGTGTAAAAGAATCCCTATATAGAGTTTTCAAGCATTGTAATCAATCAGCCTTCTAAGTAACAGAGCTTCCATGTAATAGAATTACCTGCCATTCACATTAGTGAACACCTCTGTAAAATGAGCATTACTTGCACTCAAGGCTTGAGGAAGGTTTCTCTTATACGGAAAAGCTGGAGGCGCTGTCAGAGATGGCAGAACAGCTGACTGGCTACTGAGCATAGACAAGATTGATGCAATTGCTGGTCGTCTAGCTGCATCTTCCTGAACACACAATAATCCAATATGGATGTATCTTTCAATTTCAGGGATTGAGAAATTTCCTCCAAGATTTGGATCCACCAACTCTAAACCGGTCCCATCATTCCAGCACTTCCATGCCTTATGAAAACATAACAACAGTTAAAGAGCTTTATCTGTTAAATTTTTCTTGCAGAGGCTGTGATTTCCTTTTTTTTTTTTTTTTTCAGGCGGATAATATTTTATGATTAAAGCTTACATGATCTAGTAAGTTCTCATCTTCTATGTTTAGATCAGTTACACTATTCCTGCGTCCACTCACAATCTCCAGAAGTAAGACTCCAAAACTAAAAACATCAGATTTGACTGAAAAATTTCCTGTTGAAGCATACTCAGGAGCCATGTAGCCACTAGCCACTGCAGCATTTGGCATCCGCAAAAAAAAAAAAAAAAAAAAATATAAAATAAAATAAAAAAAACCATGAGATTTCATGACTAAGGTTTGGGGGGCTATGGATTTTATCTAGAGGAGGAGATAGGAAGGGATCAAACTTACAATGTTCCAGCAACTCTACTAGTATTTCCTTGAGTTTGGTCTGCCTCGAAAAGTTTTGCCATTCCAAAATCTGCAATTTTGGGGTTCATTTCTCCATCCAATAATATGTTGCTAGGCTTGAGATCGCGATGGATCATCTCGAATCTGGAATCTTCATGAAGATACTGAAGTCCTCTTGCAATTCCCATTACAATCCTTTGTCGAGCTGAGTTTCCCACTTCAAATGGACTCCCCTGTTTGTACCTACAATATCAGCCTGGACAAGAAGTAAGTCATCAAGAAATCAGAACTTTTCACAAATAATTGTATATAATATGCATTTTCCAACATGGCCTTTTATAACAAAGTTCAGGTTGTAACTGAAATCATACAATGTAGAAATCGGTCAGAGCTTTTATTTGGCACAAACTCATATACAAGTAATTTTTCTTCTCCGTCTAAGCAAAATCCATGAACTTTGACAAGATTCTTATGTTGCAGCTTTGCTGCTAAGCATGCCTCACTCTTGAATTCCCTAATTCCTTGCCCTGAGGGACTTGCAAGCCTCTTAACAGCTATAGCTTGTCCATCTGCAAGTGTTCCCTAAATTTGAAAGTGAACCCTATAAGTTGTTTTCCTGACAAGAAGAATTTACTGGTATGAAGTTCAACATAAAAAAAAAGAAAAAAAAAAACAGTTTTTATATGTCACTGGTAGAAAAAATGAAGAAGGCCCCCCTTAATTGCCACCGGTTCAGTCCGAACCGGAGGCAAAAATGGGCTAAAAAATTGGCAGATTTATGAACTAGGAAAAAAGGCACCGGTTCAATTCAAACCGGTGGCAAAAAATAAAGCCCACCGGTTTGAACCGGTGTCGAGCCTTTTATTAAAAAATAACGCTTTTTCATTCTCCACTCAAACCCTATTTCATTCTCCACTCAAACCGTCGCTTCTCATTCTCTCTCGCATCCCTTCCTCTTTCATCCCTGTTTCTCTGATTTTTCATTCTCATCTCCTCTTTCTCTCGTTCTATTTCTCTATTCTATCAATCCCTTTCTCTTTCTCTTTCGTTCTTTTATCTCCTCTTTCTCTCGTTATCCTTTTCTCTGATTTTGGGTTTGATTATTTGAGGTTAGTGTTAAATACCTTGTTTTTTGGGGTTTTATTGTTGTAATATTGTTTGAAATTTGGGTTTTATTGATTTTTATTGGTTTTTTCTGGGGTTAATTGATTTTTGAAATGTTTTGCGTTTAATTAATTTTCGAAATTTTTGGGTTTAATTGATTAATCTGGGTTTTTTCGAAATTTTTTATGATTAATTGATTTTTCTGGGTTTCTTCGAAATTTTTTTGGTTTAATCCACCAAGAACGCATGCATGAGCAAGATAGGGTTTAATTCATTTTTGTTTTTATTTTAATCGATTTTTTTTTATTTTAATCGATTTTTATTCGATTTTTTTTATTTTAATCGATTTCTTAAGCGATTTTTTTTTATTTTAATCGATTTTAATTTTTTTTTATTTTCTGGGTTTTTAACTGATTTTCGATTTTCTGGTTTGTTTTAATCGATGTTTTAAATTATTTTAATTCTATTTTTTTATTTTCTGGGATTTTAAACTTATTTTAATCGTTTTTTTTTATTTTAATCGATTTTTTTGTTATTATAATCAATTTAAATTTGATTTTTTCTGGGTTTTTAACTGATTTTCGATTTTTTTATTTTATTTTTTTCTTTTAATCGAATTTAATTTGATTTGATTTTTTATTTTCTGGGTTTTTTTATTATTTTTTTCGCAGCTAAGTCAGTTTAATCGACTTATGTTGGATGTTTTAATTGGCGCAGGTATACTGTTGCTTTGCAAGCCCAAAATAGTGCACATAATCGAAGAATCAAGAATATTGATTTAGATGTTGAATGGGTTTTTTTTATTGTGATGTTGTAATTTTTTTTTTTTGATTTATTTTGTATTTTTTTTATTTTATTTATATGTTGTAATTGATCAATTTTATAGATCTATATTGTAATTTTTTTTCTATTATATACTGTTTCGATTATATTGAATGATAGTTGATTTATATTTTGTTGTTCTTCTTTATTTTAGTCAATATAATTTTTAAGTGAAAAAGACAAAAAAAAATAAAAATATATTGATTTTTGAGGATTTTTTGGCACCGGTTTGCCAAAAACTTTGAACTAATTTTTTGTGGTCTTTTATGGCTCCGGTTAACCGATGCCAATTTCGAAGTTTTGCCACCGGTTCAAACCAGTGGCTTCTTCATCCATTAAATGGCACCCCCCCCCCCACATTGGCACCGGTTCAAACCGGTGGCATTGAGGGGTTTTGAACCGGTGCCAATTTCCTTTTTTCACCTAGTGTGTTATCCATCAATTACACAAACATACCTTGTAAACAACTCCAAATCCACCTCGGCCAATTTTATTTTCAGGAGAGAAGTGTTGGAAATAAACTATTGCAATCAAAATGAATAATAACAAGAACAAGGAAAGATGTTACTTTGAATATAGATCTCAATACGTTGTGACGCGTTTTAGGGCTGCCATAGAAGCGTATTTCACCACCACCGGTACGAGGTTCTCAATGACGAATGATCCCCAAAGATAACACAACGATCCATCAAATCCGTACCCCGAATGAAGGATTGGAATTATACCAAGAACTGCTCAGATCTCTTTTGGAGGTTTAGGGTTTTCGGCCTTTTGTTTATAGGTTTATTATTTGGTGTGTATCAAAGCTTCAAAGGTTTGATATATATATATATATATATATATATATATATATATATATAGGTTATGCGAAGAAATCAAAATAAGGAAATAAAATCCCGAACAAAAACGCATTTTCGAGCCCTTGCCCGGTCGGGCGCGAAGAACATAGGTCAAAAATCCCAGTTTTTGGCTCCGCCCGGTCTGACCGGGCAAATCAGCCCTATCAGGCGCGAGAGGTGGAAAGCTACGGAGTTGTTTGAAGCTTTGTCTGGTCTGTTTTGCCTTGACCGGGCAAGTGGGATACTACGAAAGTACGAAGTTAACTAGCTTGATGAATAGCCTACTTCTCTTCGCCCCACCCCCCAGGACAATTCCGTCCTGCCAGGGCAAGCACGAAAAGAAACTTATCATCAAACATAGCTTTATACATTCGAATCTTTTGACTTGCATTACTCCCAACAAGAAGTTGTCAGTGGCAGCTTTGATAACATCGAATTGTAAGTGCAGTTTTTCTACGCTGAACACAGCACAGAGTCTCATCCTTAAATTTCTATCAGACTGCAAATTTTGTTTAGTCCCCCTATAGCCTATAGGCTGCAAATCTTTACAATATCTTGTGTACCATAATGATAAATGTTGCCCTTGATGTTTTGATGATAACACGTACAAGTCAAATAAATGGACTAATGTCTTGCTGAGTTTTTGTAGTCTTACTCATTATAAGTTGCAGGAACAAGGTAAAGCAAGGAAAGTAGAGCTAAAAGAATAAAGAGATTAGTTGCAGTGTTCCTGTAAAGGAACTAAAGCTTCAGAGCAGAGGCTAAAGAAAGAAGACTCGGAGAAGAGACTTCTAAGAGAAATATAAAGTCTGAAATATTTTATATTTTAGGTTTTATGTAAGTGAGTCTAATTGGGAATTAATACTTAGTGGAATGCAATTTGATTTTGTCAAAAAGATAGAATTTGATAGTTTGCTAGAAAATAGGAAAATCGGTTTTGAATAATATCTTTTCTGATTTTATAAGTTAATATTTTATCCTTTGAGTTAATATTAATGTTTCCAGAAAAATATCTTTTGAAAACTACTTTCCTAAACTTATGCAACTACTTACTGACTTAGTCTTCACCACTTACGCATAAGTTGCTTCCTTAAGGTTTAAAACGTGTCCTGGTTTCTAGGACATGATTGAACAAATTGGAAGTGGTAAATGGTAGTGGCGTTGATATGAAGCAGTGGTGGCGAAAGTGGTGGGAAGTGTGGCGTTTTTACCAAGCAAAGTTTTCCTATAAAAAGCAGGAGTTATTCTTGGAATAATTTCACCCTTGCTCAAATATATTTTTCTATCTTTCTTGCTTTAAAACACGAGTCAAGAGTCGCATTCCACTTAGGTGTTTTTCTTAATTACTTTCACTAGAATTTTATTTACTTGAGTTGTAATTTGGGAATTGAGAGTTTGAGTGAACTCTAAGAGGATTCAGTAGAGAAAGAGAGAAGAGAATAGAGAAGAGAAGAGTGGCAAGTAGTGGGACTTGCTGCTGGGAACTTCAAGTTCATAGAGGAACTTGAAGATTGATTTTTAGTTTGTAATAGGTTGTTTGCCCTGTTATAGTGAAGAATCATTCCTAAAATCCCAAGTGATCGTGATTTTTCCTCTTGTGGGCCAAGAGGTTTTCCACGGAAAATCTCTCTGAGTTATCTTTAAGTTCCTTTAGCTTTGTTTTATCAATTCCGCGAATATTTGACCCAATTCTCCTAAACTACAATTCACCCCCCTCTTGTAGTTTTCTTATAAAGTAACAGAAGCTAATACTTGAAAATTCTATAGTACTTGATTAGAAGATTACAAAGTGCTATGAATTGTATAATTCAATTGATGATGAACTTATTAGGAGTTTCTACAAAAATAATTAAAATCATCCAAGTTCAATAATAAACAATAATAACTGCGAAATTCCACTGATAATTCAGATTAAAATACAAAAAATTAGCAGAAATATGGGAATTTAATACCTGAGTAATCGGGGTTGAGATGAAATATTACTGCTGAAAATGATCTTCTGAAACCCGGCCAAAAAAAGTCAACGATATTTACACTGTTGCACAGTTGTTTGATGTTGATTGAAGGGAAGAACACAGAAAATAAATAAATAAATAAATACTCCCCCGGACTAAGTAGCCCGTAATACCCATAATACCCGATATATTTTGAGGCCTGACCCGAATTTGGCTTGAAAAATCCAAAACTCCGAGGGCCAAAATTATGGTCAACCCATTATCTAAAAAAAAAAATTTGGCTAATCCATCCCATTCATCAAATCTAATTTAATTTCAATTTGAACAAAAACAAATAAAATAGCAAATGAGATGATTTTAAGATTCGTATTAATGTGTATTTTTTAAATTTAAGAATTTTAAGATGTTATATTATTATGAAATTAAAGGTACTTAAACGGTTAATAAATGCTACAACTACCAAAAGCATAATTGTAATTACTAGTGCTGTCAAATTTTAAACCGAAATCGTTTAACTGCCTGCAACAAACCGACCCGAACCGTATGTGAATGAACCCAAAACTGAACCGTTCCGAATAACATTTCACCATATAAGAACCGAACCCGTTGAACTGAACCAGTTCTAAACAAAACTGAAATCAAACCGAACCGAAAAAGAACCGAACTGTTTCTAACCCGAAATCGTTTAAACCGAGATAAAAATCGTTTACACTGAACCGATAACAACCCGCGACCCGTCTGCACCGAACATTATATAAATCGAAACGTTTATAAACCAAGTCGCTTGCAAACCGAATCATTTTTGAACCGGACCGCTTATAACAAATCGGCTACAAACTGCTTACTATAAAGAGAATATTAAAATTAAGTTAAAAGGTGTTTTATGAAATTTAATTATCATAGTACAAAAATTCTTCCTGCCAAATTAATATTTATTGAAAATTTATTATCATAGTATAAAATATCTTCCTGCCAAATCATTATCATAGTATAAAATATCTTCTTGCCACTAAAAATCCTCTTGCCATAAACTGAACCAAAAAAGAACCGAACCAGTTATAAAACTGAACCGAAAAAGAACCAAACCAGTTATAAACTGAATCGAAAAAGAACCGAACCAATTATAAACTGAACCAAAAAGAACCGAACTAACTGTTTCTAACCCGAAATCGTTTCCAACCCGAAACTATTTAAATCAGGATAAAACCGTTTACACCAAACCGTTAACAAACTGCAACCCGTCTACACCGAACTGTTTACTACCCAGATTGTTTACAACCCGAACCGAATTAAAACG